GTGCTCCGATAGAATTTTGGGCTCACTTTATGCTTTTTATGGACTTGCCATGAATGTGACATTAATGAGCTCTTAGCTTATCCCAAAGGCGCAGCCAGGACGCACAGGACACATACACACACACACACACACACACACACACACAGCACACACACACACACATGCCTAGGGACGAGTAGCAAGCATAAAGTTGATGCCATAATTTGTCCTTGAATTTGACTGTCGCATTGTCGTCGCACACTGCTGGATGCTCATAATTAAATTGTTATTTAGACTGAATGCTAAACTGCCTGCTCATTCAGAGGTTATCAAAGGTCGTCGTTGCTTCTTGCAGCCTGAAATGGTTGACACGCCGACTGAGAAACGAAGCGGTGTGCGTTAAAAAATTACCCTTTGCGGAAGCTAAAAGCTTTTTTTCTTTCTTTTATTGGTATGTGTGTTGTTCAGTGGTCATCATAAAGTATGTACTCGTAAAAAACACCAGCGTAGTAAAAGTTTTCGAATATCCATACAAAGCAAAGTTAAACATAATCCACAAAGTAAGTCAGCTGCTCAAAAGTTGACTATAACTCGGCATTAATTTCATTAACATCACCTCTCGAGTGTGGTGGGAGGAGTCTCGTCACGAGCAGCAAAGTGCACATTTAATTTGATTGTATATTATTTCTTGGGATATGGTGTATATTAACGTAGGGTCAAAGTGTCTCTAAAATTTCCAGATGGTTATTTTTACGTGGGGCGAGAGCTCGCTCCAGAACTTAAAGTAGATTAAAAAGTTACGAAAATTACTTCAATCAGATCAATACAAGCTTTGCTTCAAATTTAAAAGCCATTGCTCCAGTGTTGAAATATTCATTCCATCAGAAAGATTAGCATATTAAGTCATTTTTACAAAAGGACTTATGATTTTAAATTTAAAATCAATATTCTCTTTAGATTTAATTCACTTATTTACTCAAATATAAATGGAATGCTTTTACAGGTAATTTAACGTCATTGAAACAAATACTGAATGGCGCTTTCATAATTTGAGTTAAGAGAGTAAACAAGTGCAATAATTTTATTAAAATTCATGCACTTACATAAAAAGCAATTCATCTGATTAAAGTGCATATATCCATACTAAATAGAAATCATAATTTCGGGTAGCTCGGTCCAAAAGTAGGTTTCAAGTATTGTTGTACTTTTGATGGACACTCATAACTTTTTAACCTAAAATAAACCCATCTCAAATTCAGTTAAACACTTCAGTCTCTTCACGACGGCCTAAAGGCTAAAGCGAAATTGCTCTTGGCTGCAGAAAGGTGGAATTGATGCAGCAGGCAGGAGGCAGGCAACCAGCAAGCTGGTTGTTGCCAAAATGAATAGGTGCCAGACTGATGTTGCTGTTGCTGCTGCTGCTGCTTCTGTGGCGGTTGCTCTCTTTATTGGTATTATTGTTGTTGTCGTTGTTAGTGTTGTTGCAGGCAGTGGATACGGTAAGGCAGACTGGCTGAATTTATGTTTACCGTCGCTCTAATTAAATTTAATATTCATATTGCCGAGCATTTGAAGAGTGGCCAGCTGTTCAGCTGTCCAGCTTGTCCAGCTTGTCCACTTTGTCCAGCATTGCCGCTGGCTGCTAGAAGCGTAGTCAGGGTCTGAGAGCAGCAGCATGTCAGTTGGCTACGGCGTACACAGCGGTACGGCTTAGTTAGGTTAGCTTCAGCCACGGTTCGTTGGAGAAATGAGCTTGTGGTCGGTCGGTCGGTCGGTCGCACGTTGAGAGTGAGTAAGCGAACGAATGTGTGTGCGAGTGTGTGTATGGTGTGTGTGTGTGTGTGTGGTGGTAATAAATTTGATTAGTAGGATTTACGGGGCATACGGCAAACGTAAACGTCAAATGTTCGTGGTGCAGTAAAATTTATGCTAAACAGTGGACCAGGCGGGGCCATGAAAGCAGCGGGTAGGTAAAAGGTTTGAGTTCGCTCTTGCTTCGGTTTGTGTGTGTGTGTGTGTGTGTGTGTGTGTGTGTGTGTGCTGAGTAGCCCTTTTGCCCGGTCTTTGCCGGGTCTTTGCTCTTTTTTTGCTGTCTTTCTTTCGTTGCTTTGTTTTGTTACGTTTAACGAGTTGTTACAATAAATTGTTATTGCATACTTTACGGCGCTGCGTGCACAGTGTGTATGTATATATGTGTGTTGCTGTGTGTGAGTGTGTGTGTGTGTCTGCGATGGAAAAGCGTAACTGCACAAAATAGACAACGAGGCATTGGGGAATATGGCGGCATATGCAGCTCTGCTAAACGCGTCTCCAACGTCAACGTCACAAAATGTTCTGCCACAAAAGCGCTTTCGCGTGCTCCATTGTAATTCTAACACACAAAATGGCGACGCAGCGCCATTTTAAAGTGGAGCAGTCAGCAAGAGCCACAAAGAGAAAGAGAGAGAAAAAGAGAGAGAGAGAGAGAGAGACAGTGGGATAAAGAGTGAGAGCGCAAGTAGAGTGAGACGGCTGGCAAAGTGGTTTTCTCAGTGCTGGCAGCAATTTTCAGTCCTCCTTTGATAGGCAATGAGGCCGTAATTCTTCTATTTTTGTTGCACTTTTGCACATACAACCATATAATTAATGCTGCCAAAAATTTGCCTACAAAACTGGCCTTTGACGTTGAGCGCCACATAAACAATTGCAGCGCGAATTGCTTGCAGCATCAAAGTTAGCAAAAGCATCAGCATCAGCATCAAACTCCTGCAGTTCTCATCATTAACATCATCATCAGGGCCACATAAAAAAAAAAAAAAAATGGGCAGCAGTTGCCAGCGCGCTGTCGAGATTACGCGATAAAGCACAACGTGAACTGCAGCTAACGAATGAACCAGCGACGTGGCTAAAATGAAATTTATGCCATGCTTCAGACACTCTCAAACCCGTCCCTTCTGCCTCTCCCATATTTTTCTGGAATTTCTGGCACATTTCAGCAGCTGTAACGCCGCCATTTGGTTTGCAGCCATTTTCTTTTTTTTTATTATTATGGTTATTTTTTTTTTGTGTGAAGCCGCCGCAAATAAAATGAAATGCATTCGTTGTGAAGGTCCTGCAAGTTGTTCTTGCTGGCAACTGACAAACAGTCCGTTGCCACCGCTGCTCTCCCCCAGGAATGCGTCGTTTTGGTAGCATTAAAATTATGCGCATTGAGTTTCTTTTGCTATTGAAATTTTCGGGGATTTTCCTGTTCGCATTTCCAATGTATAAAATAGTAGATGGAAGCCACCAACTGAGATAGATCCTTTTGCGGTTTGTGTTTGTAGCAAAACTGAAAAGAAAATTTGGCGATGTTTGCTTGTGTGCGTGTGTGTGTGTGTGTGTGTGTGTGTGTGTGTGTGTGTATGTGTGTGACTCGATTCGAATGCATTTGATGTTTCATGCTGTGGGACGTAAATCTGCATTTTTGACTTTGCTTCATGTGTGCGCTTGAACACTGCTGAAATGCTGATGAAAACAAATATTGATTCGTTCAGAAAAGTACAAGTGCGTTCGAGAAATAATTTAAAATTGCAATCAATAAAAAATAAAGATGAAGGCAATATTTAAATTTGCAAACATCTGGTTTTTAGTCGAAATTAATCGAAAGATCCAATTGCGCACGATTCACAACTTCAACTGCCATAACTTTATAGAAGCTAAAGAAGACTACTGCTAAATTTAATTTTAAGCAAAGATTTACAAAGTAAGTTACTCGTATTAGTTGGCAATATATTAACTAACAGTTTTATATCTTTTTATATTTTCAGGTAAATATATTTTAAATACCAAAATAATGTGCTATGAAGGCTCTGCTTCACGAGATGGAAACGAACAATATTATACTCAGAAATAATATTACTATAGATAAAAATGCATTAAGCAAGTATTCTTTTTGGTAATTAATGATATGCTGAATGATTTTAGTAATCACCTACGCTCAACATTGAGTAATATTTGTATGTTAAAGAATTCCCTTTATTTACACTGTACGTTCATTAATTTTGTAAGTAAAGTATTCCGCCATGTTTCCACTATTATTTTATATATAAATATATATATACTATATATCTTATTGATTCTTTTAATTGGTTTTTATGGCTGTGAGGCCTTCAATGTATTATTATTATACCTTTTTGAGCAGCAGTCATAATTCTCTGTCTCATTTATTTCCTTCTTTTTTTTTATTATTAAATTTTGCAATTTTAATCAGAGAATGGACTCTTCCGCGCCGCAAACGCAAATTAAGATTTATGTGCACTTAAATAAGTTTCATTCCAGCGGTCAAATTGTCAAGCAGCGAATAATGAAATTACAATTTCATTTGTATAATTAATATTGTTTAAAACGCCATATTTAAAACATATCGCATTAATTGCGCACAGTGCCGAAAAGTATGCGACACATTCTGACACTCAGGCAGCAACAAAAAGGCTAATAAATCAGCGCAAATTAATTATATATAAGAAAGCAGGGGCACAACTGCCATAAATGACAGCAACACTTATGAGAGAAGTGAGGGGGCTTTGGTGATCGCTCTTTATTGACACTACTGTTATGTGCGTAATAAGGGCACTTTCTGTTGTATGTCGTATGTTGTTTAATCCAGAAAAGAAGACACAATTTCAATAACAACAACAACGGAAATTATTCAGAATTGTTTTTGTATAAAAAGCCCCGACAAATCAATATGGAGAAAATTGTGGTTCAAATTAAATGCCACAGCTGCCATGCTCGGTTGGCGTCTTGGTCACTCCGATTCCAATTAAACGCGTTAATAACTATTAAGGTAAAGAACTTAAAGCATTTATAAAGTCCGATCCAATTGTATATGGAAATAGCTTGTGACGTCAGTCAATCACGTGTTTATTACATGTTGGCTTCTTATTTGTATTTATACTTGGTGTATCGTGTATCAAGAGAACAAGAAGAACTGTATTGAAAATAAGAGAAAATTAAATATAAAATCTGTAAGTTGCTTTATTTTTTGCTAAATATTTGAATTTATTTTGCAGCAAATTGAATGAACATAATTTTATTATTTTCTTATCAGCTAAGTCTCATGGCCCTCAGAGATTTCATTTGACATTTAACTGCTGCTTTTTTGCTTATTTGTTTATTGTACTGAATTTACTTTACATTTGATTTGATGATTAGTTTGGTAATGAACATATTGGTGCAGTAATCCATTTAGTTTGATAGTTGAGTTGTTGCAGTTGGTTATTTTCAGCTGTTTACTTTCCACCATGTACATTGCAGACCTTGCAATCACCGTTGATGATCACATTGCCAGGACTCAGAGGATTAGCTGTTCAACCACAAATAGTAGACGATTAGTACAGCCAATTAATTTGAATTCGTATGTTTACAAAACTTACCACTTGCAAGTGCCAGAAGTGCGAGCACAAATCCAATCGATAGGAATTTCATTTTCTTAGTGGGTTAATTAGTATTGCTTGTGCGAATAAAGCTGAACTGATGCCGTTGAGACGCGAGCCACCAGCTTTTATACACGAGACAGCTACAGCATCAGAGCGTCTCGCTATCAGCGTGAAACCGCATTGATTAACATAAAGTGGGATTACCCCTCTGCGATAGAACGTGAACTTTCCCACTCGCAATCGACGCGTTGGGCAAACACCCAGAGCGTAAATGATAAGCTTGGGTTTCGCTCATAACAAGCAGCCAATAGTTAATATTGCTGGCCGCTTCAATACTATAATTGATTTCAAACCGGCTTTCAATCACAGCCAGCACAGAACATTAAAGTAAACAACTTTGACTTGGCGGCTTTTCTTCAGAAATAAAACTGGCTTTGTTGAAGTTGTGTCAACTTATGACACTTTCAATTAAATACTCGTGGCACGTTGCTGCGTAATTGTCAATTGCATTGGTTCTTCGTAGCTTTGTTTTGTAAATTTGCATTGCAAATTGCCGGCGTGGAATTCAATAGACGCAATTTGTATTATTATTGACGGTAATCTACCTCGGGTTTTCTATGCTTACCCTTTTGCAATACAAAGTAGTTAAAGTAATTAAAACTGCATGTAAACAAATACGTCACGTATTAAGCATATCATAATGTTGATGTAGACAGGTAATTCAATGTAGTCATGTAATAAGTAAATAAAATCTTCAGCTATTTGCATTCAATGGAATCGCTGAGCAACTATTCATTAATCAAATTTGATTGTTAAGCTTTGCCCAACAATCGGAATCAATCTCTCTAAATATGCAAGCGTCGCACTCTCAGTTTGAATTTCAGATTAAACAAATTCGGCATGTTGCTCAAATCCGGTTTCAAATCATTTTCTTGGCAATGCAGCACACAATCAATGCGATAAAAATCGCAAACGAAATCAAAATGTATGTTGAAAGAGTATTGTACGAAGCACGAAGAGAGTGAGCAAACATAAATCAATTCATCATTAAATCGATGTTCTGTTCTGTTCTGTTCTGTTTTTCAAACGTATCGACAATTTTCTTGAGCTGTTGTTTGCAAAGCGAATCCAAAGTGAACTTGTGGCATTTTTCAATTTTCGAACCCATTCTGCACTATGCAGCAATAAACGTAATTCGTGAAAATCAAACTGGAAATGTACAGAAAAGAATGAAGAAGAGGATGCAGAAGGAATACAGAGTAAATTGAATGGGTGTTAGGTGCTAGAGGAATGGGGGTCTGTTGAGGGGCAGGTGTCCAAATGATAAATGTACAAAAATTTACCAACATCAAAATCAACAAGAGTTTCCTTCAGGCAGGCACCGCTGGAGGTCTTTCCTACCCGCCAGTGCATTTTTTTTATTAAAATTTGCTTTTCTTTTGGTTTTTATTCCTTTTGTTATACCTTTTGTTATTATTTTGGTGCGACAGAAGCCGTGGCAAGGACACGCATTGCTCAGCGATTTTTTATTCGCGAAGCTGCTGCAATTCGCTTTACATTTGTATTTTTTTTTTCTTTCTCTTTTTCAGCATCTGCTTTGCCGGCAGCATTCTTGGAGAGTTTTTAATTTATTTTATTTTTTCCGCTGTTACTTGTTCTCCTTTCGGTTAGTTATGTACTTTCCCCCCCTTCTCTTTTAAATTTTTCTTATTTTCTTTTTTTTTTTGTATAGCGTCAATTCGTAATGCAATTTATGTGCATACAAATGAGATATATGTATGCTGAAAACTTTTTACTTCAAATTCATGGTGGGTTTATTCAAATATGGGCGCAATTTTTCCATAGTGCATAAAGGGTTTTTCATTAGTGCATTTCTGCCCTGTACTTAACTATTTACACGCATGCACAATCTGCTCTTTGTACTCGTTGACTCGTTACTATTTACATCCAATTAAATGGATGCAAAATCAGCATTAACGCAACTGGCTGTGATAAACATTATCATTTGTCCATTCATTAACACACTTATCACGTTAAATGTTCATTAAAAGGGGTTGCTAGTGCAAGCAAGTATTCCTATTGGCAAATTCATTATATATATATATTATAGACATGTTAATTTGTTAGTTAATATCATTAAAAATGCTTTAGAGGATTATCTCTTTAATATTTTGAATGTGACACAATCAACATCAATTTCGTTTAGTTCTTGTAATTAGTTCAATGAAAAGAATCAAAAACATTACCTTACCAAAATTAAATGGAAGTTAACAGAGATTTTATAAGGATTTTTCTTCATTTTTTTGCTACTTTATATGTGACAGTCTGCACATAGAATATCGTGATTAGATCAAGAAGGAATTGCTTTTATATGCGAGACTTAAAGTTTCAAAATGAGTTGCAACGACAAACAATTCGGATTAGTAAAATGAGCTGCCAATTTTAGAGTGCCATATGCAATATTAATGCTTTTCGATTTCCGTTTTGGCCTTAAGATGACAATACATCAAATGCATCAATGCAATTCCATTTGATAGCAATATGCAGTCCATTAGACTAAGACTATTAAATTATAAATGAAATATTTCAAATGCAACTTGGTTGCATGGCTGGATTGTGAAAGCCGAAAAATGATAAATGCTCTCATCAAATTGATTATGAAATGTATAAAATGCTGTTAGCGCTTTAATCAAATTAAGCATTGGACAAGGACTCAATAGCCTTGTGATGCATGCGAACAATAAAGTTAATTAATTTACTTGCCTGCAAGCTTAAAATGGACAAGGCAGCCAGGCGGATAAGTCAAGACGGCAAAACGAAAAGCGACAGACTGTCTGACTGTCTGTCTGTCTGACTGTTGTACAGTAAATTAAATTGAAGAAACGTTGCAAGCGAGGAGAACAATGTATAGTTAATAACACACAGCCGTAGATTGTTGAAATAGCTGTTCATCGATTTCGGCACAACTTGATTATGCAAATCACGACTGTGAACGCTGTTGAACACAAGTCGATTATAAAATATTAATAAATTAATTTAAATTGAAATTGTTATCATATTAGTTGCCAAGACACGCCCGATAAAGCCATCGTAAATCAAAAGGTAGACGTTTAATGGCTTCTCTCATTTAAGGTGCTCGTAAAAGGCTTACGAAGAAATTTTCGCCGCCTACTCCTAAATTCAAATCCAAATTCTGAAATGCGTTGTTGTCAATTTTCATGCCACAATTTATGTTAATTTAGTTGTAACCTTTGATACCTTTAGGGCAGGACCTTTGTATGGGGGATAAATAGGAGCGACTGCCTTTCATCCCAAAAGCATCCATTATACAACACAGTCAGTCACACACGCACACACACACACACACACACACAATGACTGGCAACAATCCATTAGTGGGTTACTAACGGTGCTTCTGTCGACGCCATTTTGTGTAACAACTGCAAATCAATGCCCTGACATGTGAAAAATGGCAATGGCGCTTTGTATGCCATGTCTATTATAATATTCCTATATTATTTTATGCATGCAACTGAGCTTGCCACAGCAAATGTGTGTGAGTGTGTGTATCTGGCATACACACACATTTTGAGATTGTGTCTGCATTTTCGTAATCAACCTCATGATAAATCGTTTGCGCAAAATTTATTGAGTTTTTGCATGACATCGCCATAGCGACAGCAGCTGCAACGACCAATCATATTTGGAATTGGGTGTTATACAAATTTTTTTTTTTTTATTGTGGGACTCTCCGAAGTACTGCTACGTGTCGCACTTGAATCCTTTTTAATCTCTGCTCTTATATAACATTAGTTATGCACTTCTTGTTAATAAAATTTATGTAACATTTGAAATAGCAATTGTTAAATGTTTGCAAATGTAAATGTTGAAAAAAATGTCGTAGGTTAATTCATATTATGCACATAATATAAAAACAAGATAGAAAACAATTTTTAATTAACTTTGTAGCCATCATTAAATTAAAAATATAATTACATTAACAACTAACAATTTCTATGACCGTAGCCCATTAAAAATGGATAAAATGGATTAAATGATTTTCTGCAAAAATATGTAAAAGGCAGAAGGAAGTATCTCCGAACCCATAAGCCGAACCGAAAAACTTTGAATAATTTTATAAAGGGAAATTTGGCAATCAAACAAGAATAAAATATTTTACATCGTTGAAGCTCACTCAACTACAACAGTTTTATTTGATTTAAACATTTTAATTGCAACACAATAAATATAAAATAGATCAGATGGGTATTACCACACAAAATAGCAGATTTTCAAAAGAAATGTGCTTAGTTGTTCAGCATTTAAATTCAATATGCAAATTCAAGCAATTTATGCTGACAACGGAAAAAGGAGTACATTTCTAAGCCAAAACACTTGCACTTAATTGCAGTGACAATTGTGCACGAATTTAATTTTATTGTGCACGATTTTTGTTTACATTTGCGAAATTATTGCTGCTTTGTGTTTGGTCAGCTGCTAAACCTAGTTATATTTCCAGTACAGTATGGTCTAGAAATAATGAAAGCAAACAAATATTGAAAGAATCTGCAAAACTGTCGCAAAAGATCAGATCAGTGTTGATTTCCATTTCGGCACAGTATACATTCAACAACCTGAGGAGAAGTATATTGGAAATATATGTTGCAGTTTTTGGAGCTATTTGAAATTTATTATCATTGTTAGCTCTGCTGCAGGTCAACAAATTATATTTTATTACATGGCAGAGGAAAAGTTTATTTACAAAATGTGCTTTGATATAAATAAAAACGAAGTACCAAATTCATGTTGAACGCCACTGCAGTACACACATATTTATACATATTTATGTACTCATTCCTATATATATACACGTATAATTGATGACTAAATGAATTTGGTCGGTTCAATGCCTTTTGTGTTCAAGGCATCCTCAAAAGTGTTGCAGTAAACTAAATATTCGACTTTCTTGCATTATTTTGGTCTTTTCGCATTTGGCATTTATTTTCTGTTCGAGAATGGGGGAACCCCCTTTACACCCTGCTTGGGGGTGTCTATCGAAATAATTAATGAACTGGTGAAG